AAGAGGTTGTAGAAGAAATGCTTTTAAAAGCCTCTGATGATCCCAGCTGAATTGCCTGATCGTCAGAGGCTTCTAAAAGCATTTTTTTGTGCAACCTCTTCGGCCGAAGAGGTTGTACAAAAAATGCTTTTAAAAGTTTTTTTTTAAAAAAAAGTTGGCCACGCCCACATTACCCACCCACCCACCCACACACACACACACATCAAGCCATGCCCACAGAACTGGTAGTAACAAATTTTAGATTTCACGCCTGGATAAGATGTCCCACATAGCTGCCCTATGGGGACGGAATGGGGCTTTTCAGCTCGAACCCTTGGCCCTGCCTGTTTCTCCTCCAGGGTTTCACCTCTGCGTTATTATCCTCAAGCTTTTCTCCTCGGCTGGCCCTCCCCCATTATTTCACCCCGGCACATGGGCCACGGCCCCTCCATCCCAATCCCTTCACCGCAGCCCATTCGTCAAAGTACAGTTCGCATCGGGCATTGGGGCGCCCAGGACAGTTCGCAGCCAGCCAATCGGTGCAGAGGTTCGGGGGCTTTGGGAGAGATGCTGCTTGGGGAGAGGTGCTGCAGGGGAAGGTGCTGCGCTTGTTAGGAGAAGGAAGGGGAGGGGTGGAAGAACGGGGTTGGGGTAAGCACAGCTGCAGTTCAGAGGGAGGCTCAGGAACAAGAAACCACAAGAAACAGGCAGGGCCAAAGGTTCGAGCCGAAAAGTCCTAAACCCTAGAAGGATACTGATTTGGGCCACACTTGCCAAAGCAAGTAATCATAATGCTCTTTGCTCAAAGATCTTTATGGTGGGTGAAATTGCTGGAGTTTTGTTTGCTGTTTAAACAGAGGCCCCTTGGTGTGACAAGGCCTTTGGCTGAGAAGCTGCTGACTCCAGAAGTCATCCTGCTTCCTTATCAACCTTTTTTTTTTTATGATAGGTTTTGTAAATGTTTTATGAGTTGCCAATGACTGCATCAGAGAAGAAGAGGCTATTGAGGACAACATGGGAAGGGCTGCTTGTGACTTTCTTTGTATTATTGACAAAAGGATCAGAGGGCAGATTACCTCCGTGATAAAATGAGTAGAGAGCAAACCAAAAAAAGCCAGTAGTGGCTCTTTGCACATTTAACAAGCTAAAAAGAAGAGCCTCTCCTGCATAAGACACCAGAAATCTGGAGAACCTAATTTACTCAGCCCATTTATTTCATCCCCATTTACTTACACGTTAGAGCTCGACCTACCTGAGGTAAAGATATTTATTAACACATTTTGACCTTCAAGTTCAGCACAGTGACTACACCTACACTCTGACTACTGAATATTTTAATAATATATTTTCAGAATGATCTATAACTGCAGTCCAAGTCGGAATAGAAATCCATGGCTATCTCGGTACAGCTGAACTATAATGATCCATGACACAGCCAGTGTAGCCATTGATAACAGCTTATTAGGGGAGTTGAATAGAAATATGTCTATTGCAATGCAAAAGATTTCAATTAATTTAATTAAAAACACTACACCTAATAATTAAATAAATATTAAGATTATATAACCAAGGGGGCTACGAACAAACATGTACCTGAATTCCATCCCTGAAGCCACATAATTCATAATTTAGGCATAAATTAAGATCTTTCCACTGACATAAACATAGGAACAATAGAGGAGAAACTGCCTTGGGGCCTGCAGGCGCATTTGGCCTTACTGAGTTCCCCCTTGTTGCCCATCTCCTGTGTTTTTAATAAACCTGACCATAAAGTGTGGGACTACCAGATTTATGATGCAAGAATCCTATCAGTTTAGCCAGGATAAGGCAGAAAACACAGCTAGATAAGCTAATTCTACTTTATTGTGAAACTACATTAACAGAATAGCACCAGCACTAGCACTTAGACTTATATATCACTTCACAGTGCTACGTGGTTTACAGAGTCAGCATATTGCCCCTCAACAATCTGGGTCCTCATTTTACCCACCTTGGAAGGATGGAAGGCTGAGTCAACCTTGAGCCTGGTGAGATTTGAACTGCAGGCAGCCGGCAGGCAGCAGAAGTAGCCTGCAGTACCGCATTCTAACCACTGCGCCATCAGAGTTCAGAATCTTGCAAGTCTGAAAGGACAGTTCTTCTATCCTCACCTTTAGAGCTCAATATCTTAGAGAGGGTCTTTCTGACCCACTTGCTCTGCCTACTGTGCAGCTGTGGGCCATGATCCCTCTTCTCTGACCACTCCCTAGGCAAGATCTCTTCACCTGGTCTCCCACACACCTTTACAAATCTAGGTGATTACTTGATGCTTAGCAGGTTCCTAGCGCTCCTGTGTGTCTTTACTGCCATGTCATCAGTTTGCAATTCAGACATAACAGCCTCAAAGTGGATAAGCAATTGAGCCATCGTAGAAGAGCAGCATGGCAGGAAAGAGCGAGCGAATGAAAAATCAACTGTTGCTGCACCAGTTCCTGATGGGCTTCCCCAGTTATCACTGTTGGGTGATGTGTACAGTATTCCTTTCTCCATCCTGTTTACATGTGTGCATGTTCTTCCATGTGTGTCTTTAATTATTTGAATTAGGGGAAAGAAATGGACATATAATTTTTGGATTGCAAACTTCTGGATGACCACTGGAAGGTAGTGGACTGGCTGGTAGAAAGCACTAATAACTTTACCATCTAACAATTCTCTAGAGTTTTGGATGCTGCATGCCAAGGAGGCTACCCTGGATAGGAAGGTGAAAAGGGACCCCTCCAGACTTCTCTAGGAGAAGGGAAGGAATACTTGGGGTGACTGAGATGAAGAGAGATCCCCAGAGGGCTCTCTCTCTCTCTCTCTTTCTCTTGACCTGGAGTAATAGTGATTCATCCTGGAACGTAGGGCATGCAAAGTAGGTATGGTACCACTGAATCATAGCCTAGAAGCATCTGTGAATGGATATAGAGATACGATATCCTATCGATTGAAAGATATTTCATTCCCCAGTGGATCCAGTTCATTTCCAATCCAATTCAATTCCACCACTAACACCAGAATTTTTGGGGTGGGGGGGGAGGAAAGGGTGTTATCCCTCTGTTTCCTAATCCAAAATGTTGAAAATAATGGAAGGTGATAGGCTAAAGTGCCCTACAAAATGCCCACCTCTAACTCTGGTCAGCAAAAGCAAAGGAAAGAATGCAATAACAACAGTAACAGAGTTGGAAGGGACCTTGGAGGTCATCTAGTCCAACCCCCTGCTCACACAGGAGACCTATACTAGGGATTCGAACCACCGAATTGCCAACCTTTCTGATCGACAAGCTCAGCGTCTTAGCCATTGAGCCACCTAGCCAGGTCATTCCTACCATTCCTGTCTTTGCTATCATCATTTATCACAAAATATGGGACAGCCATCTTCTGATGCGCCCTTTTATACTGAGATTGTAACTCCCAGATTTACTCTCCTAGGTGGGAATTCTAGGAGATGCAACCCCAAAACATCTGTACAGAATTTGATTAGGAAAGTTGGTTTAGATGTTTATTTACTTATTTTACAAGGTCACACCACCATGGTGTGTTCTAATCTCAGGGAAATCACAGGGCACAAAAGGTGTTTGCTGTTGGTTTGGGATGGATCAGTTTGGATTTAAATAATGAACCAAATTGTATGTTATGCCAGTCTTCTCCACTCAGGAGTCTTGCAGAGGTTGGACTGCAATTTCTACTGACTATACTAAGAAACCACCATTAGGTCTTCAAGTGGAGATTATTTAATTTTGTTAATATTGCTAAATGTATAGCAAAGATGATGGAGTTTGTTAAGGAGAATTATATTTACAATAGTTTGCTGTGAATACAAAAAGGCAATCTTGATTTCTACAGGTTGTGTTGGAAGTGGGAGAAAAGTTAATTGGAGAGATTGTCCTGGGGATTACCAAAGTTTAAGATGCAACTGTTGTCCCAGCCATCTGTTAAATCATTTTAATAGCAATCTTAAATGCCATTGAACTCACAGATTGAAAAACTATCTGTTGGCACATAATTTCGTTGATCGTTAGTGGATTTGTACACATAGTTAAGGAATAAATAAATAAAATTAATGGTATATCTTTTAAAAATTGGGAATCTGCCCATGTGTGAAATTAAATATTTTGGCAATCAAATTCTATCACTGTACTAATTCATAAGGCTTTTAATTTTATTTATTATATTCAGAATCACATTGCTGACTAGGTGATCACTTGATTTGGCTTGTCTTAATATATATTACAACTGTCAACAATTGTTTTGCATTAATGTCAAAAAATAAATTTGACCCAATTTAAATAAAACTAATTACAATTATTTTAAATAAGCTACAGTGATTTCAACTATATAAATCACCGTTAATATGCAGTTCTTCATGCATTTAATAATTCTCTTATGTCAAATTAAAGATATTAAGACTGCTATTTTTTAAAAGAGTGGATTGCATGGACCATAAACTGCATACCTCAATTGGATAAGACAGACCTGGATGGACAAATAGTTTCATTTGACGGGGGAAAAAACCACCAGCTTTTAAAATGTCTTTGTACAATGGATTCATTGTGGGGTTTTTAAAAATTCTTTTTGTATTTCAGTAGATTGAAAATGGACATAAGAAAGCCTTGTGGGAGCCTCTTTTCATACCAGATACCATTGGATATCACCACTTCCCAGCACTTTTATCTAGCAGCCATTTGGTATAGTGCTTAAGGCATCAGGCTAGAAACAGGACGACTGTGAGTTCTAATCCTGATTTGGGCACAAGCCAGCTGGATGGTCTTGGGACGGTCACTTTCACACAGCCCTAGGAAGAAGGCAATGGCAAACCGCTTCTGGAAAATATCGCCAAGAAAACTGCAGGAACTTGTCCAGGCATTTGCTGGGAGACAATACTGACTTGAAAGTGTACACACACCCATAACCTGCTCCTTTTCCTCCTCCTTTTTTTTTAAAAAAATTAAGATCTAGTTTATATTGACAAATTAAAAAAGATCTACACAGACAATAAAGTCCACTTTGATCTGCTATTTTACCACGCACAAAGTAATGTCTTCTTGATGTGTTTAGCCACCAACAATAATATTGTTGATTGGAATATGGATCGATTTTACGAAGAAACCAATAAATCCCATTATTGCAAAACCTATTGCTGTTGCCATGGCCATCTTCTGGAATTCTTTTCTATCTGGTTTTGTGCATCTTTTAACAAGTCTGATGGAATCTTTCACAAACTGGCGGCTGGGCTCTACAAATTGCATTACTTGATCCATGATGAAAGTTGCTTGCTACCCAACAAGACCCCTTAAGACACGTAGCAAAAGAGAATGTGGCCTTTTCCTCCTCCTTTTTGTAGCTTTTAATATCCCTTATCTTCATATGGCAATACCAGGGGATTAACCAGACATAATTTTTTCCATCACTGATGTGGATTGCAGGAGCTTAAAAATTATTTGGAAGAAACGCTTCCCATAAGGCATGAGATGGCACGTATCTGTCTTCAGTTAAAATACCTCAACTTTCTTCAGTCTCACATGGAAGATGTGTAAATCTGAAAGAAAATGCTACAGCTTTAAAGAATAAGTTTTATTAAATTAACATGCTTCTTCAAAGAGCAGCACTTTTTTTTCCAAGGTGATACCGAAATCTGAAAAATGTTGGGCTGTTTTACCAAATAACAGTACTGTATGCTCGCAGATAGACCAGTGGTGAAATCCAAATTTTTTTACTACCGGTTCTGTGGGCGTGGCTTGGTGGGCATGGTGTGGTTTGGTGGGTTGGCTTGGTGGGCATGGCAGGGGAAGGATACTGCAAAATCTCCATTCCCACCCCACTCCAGGGGAAGTTACATATAACACTGTCAAATAATTTACTATTTAATAGACACATTTAATAGATGTCTCAGAGTTTGTGCAGTAATATAGGAAGCATTTCTCATATTCACACACACTTATCTTCTTTAATGTCAGATAGGTCTTCATGGGAATACCCCCTTCTACCAGCTGCCCTTTATCTTTGCATTCAGATGATTCAGATCATTTAAAAAGCAGATAAATGCATTAGAATCTAAAACTTCTTAACCTATTCGGTTGATACAGTCCTGTAAGTCCATTAAGTAATGGTCAAAATAATCTCTGCAAATCCCATTCAAAAGATCTGTGGTTCTCGGCTAAAATAATGTTCTCTGACCTCTGTCGGTATCTAGAGAACATTGCCCGCCCCCACTCCACCCCAGCAAAGTACCATAATCTGTAAACTAACATTGCTGAAGTTAGATTTACCAGACAACATAAAGATTTTTTGCTCTTCACCTGTGAAGTCATAGAATATAATTCTGTGCTTTATTGATAGCAGGGAAATTAGATGAAATTTAAATAAACAGACTGAGTAACTAGCCCAAGGTCGTTTGCCTTCTCATAAGTCTGATCATATGGCTTTGCTTAGGATATATTAACTAAAGCTAGTTGTAATATGAAGAGCTTTCCAAAGCTTGTTTCATAACACAACTTAATTAAAAAAAAGGTAACCATGGTGATACAAGTTTAGAAAGCATATTGGAGGAGAAAAGAAGGCCTTTATAATTAAGAGGGTAGCCTGATTACTTTTCACTTTTGTTTCATCACTGTCTATTTGTGAAGAGTTTTTGCTTTCTAACTTAGTGAAATGAGCTTTGTAAACAAGTGAGACTGTGGTGTAAGCATACTGTCATCTGGAAATAAATCCCAGTGAATTAACTGAGAATACCTTCTAAATAAGCACTCAGAAGTTCAAGTTCTTTTACAACGTGTTCCAGTTTTTGTTTCTTGGGAAGTGAATTCCGTTGGGAAATGTTTTGTAAATTTCTTACTTTATGTAAGAAATGTGTGTTGTAGTCTAAATTCATGAAAAAATTTACAATGATATCATAAAAATAAAGAGCAAGTCGGTTTTTTGGTCATATTGAACATTCATAACAAGCGAAGACAAAATCAATATCAGCGATTGATTAAAATTATTTTACGATAATCCGAATTTCTAAAGCTTACATATCAGAAACATTTGCACAATTAATGAAATAAATTTTGCTAAAAGTTCATTCTCTTAACCTACCAGGTATCTTATTCTGATAACTTTTCCAATATATTTCTTTTCAGCCACTGGTGATCTGGAATTTATTTAATGCTTTTATGCATATAAAACTCTGCAGACAAAACCATATAACCATCTTATTACTCCTGGGTACTACTATCACCTATTTGTGAGAGAGTATTTTTATGATTCTTCAACAAGATGCGCACCTGATTTGCCTCTAATTAAGTCTGGATTTAATAGTTTCCTAAAGAGTACAATTTAATTGAGATGTCAACAGTTGTCACCTCTTTAAATTAAGAGCAATTCGCTTTTATAGCAGTGTATAAAGATATCACCTGGGAAAGACCAGGCCATCAATGGTGCTATTTTCCTCCCCTTTATCTATTGATATAAGCCCTAATTTGACACTTCTGTGCTGAACAAGCTTGTAAAAAGAGTTGTCAACCCAGTAAGTTGCTTACATTTAGATTAGCCTTACGACTCACTGAAAGAACCAATAAAATGACAAATTAACTGATGCCGCTGTAAACATTCAAGTATATGAAGTAACTTCCATGTTGACATGTGTCAATACAGACCCATTAATAGTTTCTTTTCAAAATAAATATTGTGTTTGAGAAGAATGTTGCATCTTCGACATATATGCAAGTATATCAGTTCTGGAGACTACCTATCTCCAAATGAATCCCTGTAAATCATATAAATTTCACCAGTCTCTCCAAGCATAGCACCCTCCACATGTGCTGCATTATAGCCCCTTTGGCCATTCTGATTGCCAAGTGTGAGACTCATAATCCAACATATTTTGGGCCTACAGGAGGAGGAGGATTGATCCAAGAAACGAAAGAGAAATTAAATGTCTTCTGATGCTTCAGCTCTGCCATTGTTGAAGGCTTTGAGGGATCTGGTAAGAAAATGTCTCTGAAATAATGATCTAATGGGTCACAGGTTATTTAGATAGCTACAAAATGTAGAGTGCAGAAAATCTGCAAATACAGAAATACGTAAGTAACTCTTGGCGTTAATTGATGATTTTTACTATTTTGAATGAGAAATATCCGAACATCTAATGGACACAAATACAAATCCATATTTTGGATGGGGACCCTAAATGGGAAACTGCGTGCCTCTGCCAAGTTCCCCATGGATTTTACTCAATATTTATTTTATTACTGAATAGCATCTCACAAGTTCAAAAACAATATTTATTTAATGATGGTGGTGTTTCTGTTTCTGACATATCACTTGAAAACTGGAAAGCTGTAAATTTTCTTGTCCACTTGAAAAAAAAAAGGAAGAAGGTCAGTCCTTCATTTTTATCTCTATTTATCCAAAATATTACTCTCTTTCTGATTTAATACAGGGAATTTTAATTATTTTCAGATCTTGTCCTTTAGGTTGAAAACATCCATGGTTAATTTTACAGACATACAGCAATACTGCCCTCTTTTGGTGAGAGAGAATATGTGCACCAAAAGCTAGTCAATAAGCAAAACGTTACATTAAAATAATGAATAAGTGAATTGATTTATCCTGTTTGTATCAATACAGAAATAAATCCCAGTGAGTTCAACTTTAATTGGTATGCATAGAACCTCAGCCTAAATCACTATCTCCTATCTTTGCATCCATTCTTTATTGATATTAAATTAATTAAAATATAGTTATGTGTTTTATTCTTCCATCATTTTTCTTTTTTGAAGCTAAAATTAAAATTCCCGTTCATAAAAGAAAATAAAAATCATTTTCTGCAAATAAAAATTATAATTAAGTAAATATGGTTGGAGATATTGAGAGGAGGTACATCCAGAGCTGGGTGGGTACCTGTGGCCTCAAAGGAGACCTTTCTGCTAAAGTGTTCAAATTTGGATTAATCTATGGAAAGAGCTCATCAAGCATCTTTTTTTGGAGGAAGCCTCATAAAACATTCTCAGAGACTCTTCCCATCCTGCTTACAATCCTTTTGGACTGTTGCCTTCTGGCAGAAGATACAGAACAATTAAAACTCAGACCACATGTTTTCTGAATAGGTTTTATCCCAGAGCTATAATTGCACTCAAAAATGAACTAAAGGGCCACCATCAGTGAGCTCTTGGACAGCATTACTTGGTCTGTTGTGTGGATGTTTGGGTGGTTTAGGGGTGAAGAATTGTGGTGGGTAGGAGTATGTTTGGGGATTGTTATGTGTGTTGGACATGGTCTTTGGGTGTTAAATGAATTTCATTGTATGGGTATACTGTGTATACACGTACAATGACAATAAAGTTGTTGTTGCTGTTGTTGTTGTTGTTGTTGTTATTATTATTATTATTATTATTATAACAAAATTTCTATCTAAAGTTTCTATTTCTCTGAAATTAATTCACAAAAAACAGCTTTCGTTTTCTTAAAGAATCATTGCACATAGCCTTCAATCTGCAGCCACAATTGAACTCAAAATTCAAAATTGCTAAGCGAGTTTTGCTCCATTTTACAACCTTTCTTGTTTAGCAGTTGTTAAGTGAATCATTGCAGCTGTTAAGTTAGTAACATAGTTGTTAAGTGAATCTGGCTTCCCCATTGACTTTATTTGTCAGAAGGTCACAAAAGGGGATCCCAGTCCTGTGACCCCAGGACTGCAACCGTCATAAATATGAGTCAGTTTCCAAGCATCTGGATTTTGATCACGTGACCAGGGGGATGCTGCCATGGCTGTAAGTGTGAAAAATGGTCAAAAGTCCCTTTTTTCCAGTGCCATTGTAACTTCGAATGGTCACTAAACAAAAGGTGGTAAGTTGAGGACTACCTGTGTGAAACTTTAATTCTGGCACAACCTGTAGTTCACAAAACTGAAAGTGTCTTCATTATTCTAAGTTTCATCCAAACATTCCCTGCAGCAGCCAACCTGCATCTCACCATTTCTCATTCTTTCCTCACTATATATGATTTTTCACCATGATAAAAACCGATCAGTAGATGGAGGATAGGGTAGCAATAGCAATAGCACTTAGACTTCTATACCACTTCACAGTCCTTTACAGCCCTCTCTTAAACGGTTTACAGAGTCAGCATATTGCCCCCAACCGGTGGTGAAATCCAATTTTTTTACTACCGGTTCTGTGGGTGTGGCTTGGTGGGCGTGGTGTGGCTTGGTGGGCGTGGCTTGTGGGCATGACAGGGGAAGGATACTGCAAAATCTCCATTCCCTCCCCACTCTGGGACCAGCCAGAGGTGGTATTTGCTGGTTCTCTGAACTACTCAAAATTTCCGC